GGCAACAAAAGTGAGTAAACCCCTAAGTGAAACTGTCCAAATTGGGCATTATTAGCCATTTTCCCTCCCCGGTGTCATGTGACTCATTAGTGTTACAAGGTCTCAGGTGTGAATGGGGAGCAGGTGTGTTAAATTTGGTGTTATCGCTCTCACTCTCTCATACTGGTCACTGGAAGTTCAACATGGCACCTCATGGCAAAGAACTCTCTGAGGACCTGAAAAAAAGAATTGTTGCTCTACATAAAGATGGCCTAGGCTATAAGAAGATTGCCAAGACCCTGAAACTGAGCTGCAGCACTGTGGCCAAGACCATACAGCAGTTTAACTCAGAACAGACCTTGCCATGATCAACCAAAGAAGTTGAGTGCACATGCTCAGCGTCATATCCAGAGGTTGGCTTTGGGAAATAGACGTATGAGTGCTGCCAGCGCTGCTGCAGAGGTTGAAGGGGTGGTGGGTTAGCCTGTCAGTGCTCAGACCATACGCTGCACACTGTATCAAATTGGTTTGCAGGGCTGTCGTCCCAAAAGGAAGCCTCTTCTAAAGATGATGCACAAGAAAGCCTGCAAACAGTTTGCTGAAGACAAGCAGACTAAAGACATGGATTAGTAGAACCATGTCCTGTGGTCTGATGAGACCAAGATAAACTTATTTGGTTCAGATGGTGTCAAGCGTGTGTGGCGACAACCAGGTGAGGAGTACAAAGGCAAGTGTGTCTTGCCTACAGTCAAGCATGGGGGTGGGAGTGTCATGGTCTGGGGCTGCATGAGTGCTGCCGGCACTGGGGAGCTACAGTTCGTTGAGGGAACCATGAATGCCAACATGTACTGTGACATACTGAAGCAGAGCATGATCCCCTCCCTTCGCAGACTGGGCCGCAGGGCAGTATTCCAACATGATAACGATCCGAAACACACCTCCAAGACGACCACTGCCTTGCTAAAGAAGCTGAGGGTAAAGGTGATGGACTGGCCAAGCATGTCTCCAGACCTAAACCCTATCGAGCATCTGTGGGGCATCCTGAAACAGAAGGTGGAGGAGCGCAAGGTCTCTAACATCCACCAGCTCCGTGATGTCGTCATGGAGGAGGGAAGAGGACTCCAGTGGCAACCTGTGAAGCTCTGGTGAACTCCATGCCCAAGAGGGTTAAGGCAGTGATGGAAAATAATGGTGGCCACACAAAATATTGACACTTTGGGCCCAATTTGGACAGTTTCACTTAGGGGTGTACTCACTTTTGTTGCCAGCAGTTTAGACATTAATGGCTGTGTGTTATTTTGAGGGGACAGCAAATTTACACTGTTATATGAGCTGTATACTCACTACTTTACATTTTAGCAAAGTGTCATTTCTTCAGGGTTGTCACATGAAAAGATATCAAGTATTACAAAATGTGAGGGATGTACTCACTTCTGTGATATACTGTATATCCGTTGGGAGACGTCTAGAGCGTAGGTGGAGGAAATCACAGGATGAATCTGACCGAACACGCCTACAAGCTCATCGAGCCTATGCTGTGGCAGTGAGGGTGGCAAAGAAGAAATGCTTCTCCACTTCCATTGCCTCCTCACAGTGCCGTCCAGCGGAGCTCTTTCGAGTGGTACATGCGCTGATACACCCTGGCCCTAAGAAAGATCCTATACCACCTTCGATGGCCCGCTGTGACAACTTTGCCCAGCACTTTAAGGAGAAAATCGCTCAGATTCGTCATGAGCTGGACTCCACAAGTGATTCAGATCCTTTAGGGGAGATGCCAATGACTCCGTCTGGTCAGGTATTAATGGATGAATTTCAGTTATTGTGGCCTGATGATGTGGACAAGGACCTTGGACAAGTACGTCCCACCACCTGCTTACTTGACCCTTGCCCGTCGTGGCTGCTGACCAAAGCCAAACACGGGATTGGTGCCTGGATCCTGGAGGTCATTAACGCCTCTCTGAGGGACGGCCGGGTGCCTGCTCCTTTAAAGGAGGCGGTAATCAGGCCTGTCCTAAAGAAGGCATCCCTGGATCCAGAGATGGCTGCCAATTATAAACCGGTGGCCAACATCCTGTTTTTGGGCAAGGTGTTGGAACAGGTGGTGGCGGGACAACTCCAAGCACTCTTGGATGAAACTGATTATCTGGACCCATTTCAGTCCAGCTTCAGACCCAGGTATGGTACTGAATCTGCCTTGGTCGCCCTGTATGATGACCTGTGCAGGAAGAGAGACAGGGGGAGTCCCCCAGTTATAGACAGGGGGAGTGCATCCCCCCATTTCAACTGTTGGTTCTCCTGGACCTCTCAGCAGCTTTCGATACCATCAACCATGTTATCCTCCTGCATAGGCTGGCGGGGTTGGGAGTAGGAGGCACTACTTGGCAGTGGTTCCGCTCCTACCTTGAAGGCCGATTCCAGAAGGTGGTGCTGGGGGACTTTGGCTCTGCACCATGGCAACTATGCCATGGAGTACCGCAGGGTTCCATTTTGTCCCCCTTGCTATTTAATATCTACATGAAACTGCTGGGAGAGGTCATCAGGAGGTTTGGGCTGCGGAATCATCAGTATGCTGCTGACACACAGCTCTACCTCTCTTTTTCAACTGATCCAGGTGAGGCAGTGGCTGTACTGAACCGGTGCCTGGCCAAGGTAATGGGCTGGATGAGGGCCAATAAACTGAAACTTAATCCAGAAAAGGTGGAGGTCCTGTTGGTGGGTGGATCGAGCTCCTGGGTAGGTGACTTGGGCCTTGCCCTGGATGGGGTGGCACTCCCTCTAAAGGACAGGGTCCGCAGCTTGGGAGTGCTCCTCGACCCGGAGCTGCCCTTGGAAGCTCAAGCGACTGCGGTGGCGAGGAGCGCTTTCAACTTCGGCTAATCCATCAGCTGTGTCCCTACCTGGAGGATGATTGCCTAGCGACAGTGACACATGCATTGGTTACTTCTCGGTTGGATTTCTGCAACGCGCTCTACGTGGGGCTGCTCTTGAAGACAGTCTGGATACTTCAGATGGTGCAAAAGAGAGCAGCCAGGTTGCTGACGGGGACTGGGTGTTATTTTCATATAACCCCAGTCCTATATCGGCTTCACTGGCTTCCCATCAAAGTCCGGGCTCAATTCAAGGTGCTGGTTATCACCTATAAAGCCCTAAACGGCTTGGGGCCTGGATATCTAAAGGAATGCCTTCTTCCATATTTGCCCTCCTGCCCCAAGATCAACAGCAGAGGCCCTCCTCCAGGAACCCTCTGTGAAAGGTAATAGGAGGCAAAGTACCTGGAGGAGGGTTTTCTCTGCGGTGGCACCCCCCCCTCCATGTTATGCACTCCCCAGAGGGGTCCGCCTGGCGCTGTCATTATTTGTTTTTCGGCACCAGGTTAAGACCTTTTTATTCCAGCAATATTTTAATAACTTTTAATATTGGTTCTTATATGTTTTTAACTGCAGCCAGTGTGGATCTGTAATTCATTTGTGTTATGTTTTATATTATTTTATCTATGTAAGCCATCCTGAGGCCTTCGTGACAGGACAGCATATAAATAATCTAAATAAATAAATAATAAAAATCCAAACTGGAACTTTCCCTTCCCTTTCGAGAAGGACTGGACTCCACCTTCAGGATGGCCCATGCTGCTTGAGGGTGAGATGGTGGCAATGGCAGATTACCCTTAACTGCTCTGTTTTCTTGGCCTGGCACCTCATGATGGGGTGCCTCCTTGAGCTCTACCTCCTCAGCTCTATAGTGTCTCCCTCCTCCTTTGAGATGGTTTGCTTCCCACCCTCTGATTCATCCATGACCCTGGCTGTTCAAAGGCCTCTGCCAATTCCTGCTCATCCCCCTCCCACCTTGAATTGGTACTATAGCTGGGGGGCCCTCTCTACAGCCCCCCCCCCCCATGGAGTCAGTCAGTTCCTAATAATTAAGAACCTAATATTTAATTCCAAACATCCATGTTATGGAAACACTAGGGTCATTTTTCCCTGGTTTATTATTACATTTCAAGAGTTAAACTTTTGGGCACTACATCTAAGTATTCTAAATAGTAGTTTTGGAAATATATTTTCTTAAACAAATAGGATTACCAGTAGAATGACAACAACTTCTTGGAGTTCTGTTCTGATAGTAAGTAGAAAGACATTACAACTCTTCCAAGCCTAACCTGGATAGTAACCATGGCTATTTTCAGAAGTTGTATTGCCAGCTTCCAAGGCTTCCTTCCCCGGGCCCAGAATTTTTCACAGGGGTTCATGAAGAAGAATTTAAGCCTTCTTCTCAGCTGATCTTCTTGAAGCAATTCCTGACACATTGAAGGACGTTGCTTGTAGCTGTAGAGGTTTTCATCTTCATGAGAATTGCAACCGCTTACAGTAACGTCAGGATTTTCCATTGCTGCAACATACAAATCATGGATAAAACCAGAGAGACACTTTAACAATCTTGTAATGCATAACAGAATGTATACTTCTGGTTAGCTATGAGCATATCTAAAACACAATCTGGGCTAGTCTGTTTGGGGGAGGGATGGCAGATTACAGCCAGAAGTATAAAATGGATGGTGAAAACCCATATACACTACTCGCAAGTGCCAGTCAATTCAAAGGACCATCAACTAAGCCCATCAACTTACCAGTTAAACCCTGGACAAATCTGTTAAGGAAGCAGAAAGATTAAATCACAGCTCACATGGCTTCACTCTCTGAAAGTACTATTTTTAGAACCAAGCAACAGAAATATTTTCCATAAACACATAATGTCAAATGAGAGCTTTCCTGTTTTCTTAATTGGACATGTTCAAAGAGATACTCCTTAAATGTGTGTGTGTGTTGAGGGGGGGGGAATAAAAGTTATTTAAAAAAATCACCCTTGCATGAAAATACTTTTTTGAATCTTATTTGTGTTTCTTGCAGCACTCATTCTGAGGTCAGAATGTGCTCTACCTCATACCTACACACCACCCATGAGAAAGGGAGTCTTTGTATGCAAGCTGATTAGTAACTGTAAGATCCTTCAAATGGAGTAAAAGTCCTCCTCTCTCCAGATTGAGTGATGCTTACAGCAGACACATTAGAATCAATTATCAACAGGTATAATTCTATCTCTAGGAGACTGAATCAGGATAAAGGATGTTTATCACACTGCATGTGTTCAATTGCTTATCAAGGCTTGTGTCTTATCAGGAAGAACTGCTCTGTGAAGGATGACTGTAAACGTGATTGCCACTGTCAATACTTTCTACACTTAAATTTCCTTCTGACCTCACTCTTTACCATTCTTTCCCACATATTCATGTGTATATGAAGCTGAACACTCCGTGCATCTGAAGTAGGCTGCAGCCCGTGGAAGCTCAGAAAAGACAAAATGTCAGTACTCCTCGACCCGGAGCTTTCTTTGGAAGCTCAGGTGACAGCGGTGGTGAGGAACGCCTTCCTTCAGCTTCAGCTGATTAATCAGCTGCGCCCATACCTGGAGTACGACTGCCTGGCGATGGTGACACACGTGCTGGTGACTTCCCGCCTAGACTTCTGTAACGCGCTTTACGTGGGGCTTCCCCTGAAGACGGTCCAAACACTTCAACTGGTGCAAAATAGAGCTGCCAGGTTGCTGATGGGGACGGGGCGTTATGCTCACATGACTCCAGTCCTCCGTCAACTTCACTGGCTTCCCATTGAAGCCCGGGCCCAATTCAAGGTGTTGATTATGACCTATAAAGCCCTAAACGGCTTGGGTCCTGGCTACCTGAATGAGCGCTTACGTCCGTATATGCCCGACCGCCCTTTGAGATCTGCGGGAGAGTCCCTTCTCCGGGAACCCTCCATGAAAGAAATTAGGAGAGTAAGTACTCGGAGAAGGGCTTTCTCTGTGGTGGCGCCCAACCTATGGAATTCACTCCCCAAAGAGGTCCGCCTGGCACCGTCGTTACTGGTTTTTCGGCGCCAGGTAAAGACCTTTTTATTTAAACATCATTTTAATTGTTAAAACATATGATCTGGCCAGGGCAACTTCTTCTTCCTTCTCTTTTCTCCTCCTATATTTTTATTTACTTATTTTATACTGATAATTTTAATTTTATATTTATAACTCAGTGTATTTTTTGTATTTTTGTATTTAATGGTAATTTATTATGTTCTATTGTATTTCAATGTATTTTATTGTGTTGTAAGCCGCCCCGAGGTTTCGGCAAGGGGCGGCATAGAAATGTTATAATAATAGTAATAATAATGATGATGATGATGATGTATTGGTCTTTAAGGTACCAAATGCATTGGTCTATTGTTGCAAGTTTTTGGTGACTGACAACAAACCATTTCTCAAACTGGGGGAAGGCAGAAGAGATCCTCAGGGTATAAACGAAGACTTGCCAGCTCCCATATCAGTGGCTGATAGCTGAAGGCAACTTTCTTTTTCCATCACAGCAGCAACAGGGAGAGGGGAAATATATGGCCCTGCCTACTGCAAGTCTTCCTTTGCCACCCTTGCTTCCACCCTTCCCAAGAGCACAGCAAATAATCACAGGATGGTGAAGACCCATTTAAGGTTCAGTGGCTTATGGGTGGCAACTACCCAAAGGAGCTGTGAATGGAAGGTACCTGAAAGCCTTCATATATGTGTGAGGCTCTACTGGTAGCTTTTTCGACTTGTGCTATGCTGAGGCAGCCAGAAAATATTTGACAGCGCCATGATCCAGTATCTTGTTTTCTCTGCATGTAGCTCAAATAGCACCAAGCTTCTTTGCATCTAATTATCTTTCCTTCTGGTTCTCTTGATCCTATCTCTTCCACAGGATATTTGAATTATTTAGAGTTGTGTGTGCACCAGAGGTCAAAATAATCCAGGAGTCAGTTAACATGCTGCAGTATATTTTGTCTGTTTGTTTAGTATACATTTAACTGTCCAATAAGTTCTCTTGACTGAACAATACACTTGAAACATAAAATACAAACATTAAACGTTTGTTTAGATATGGAGTAGCAGTTGCATTTGAAAATATATATAATAGTAAGCAGAGCAGAATAAAATCAAAATAAAACCAGCAGCAGAATAAAGTACTAGAAGTTTATTTTTTACTCAAGTAATTGTCCATACTAAAGCTACAGCTTTCCATGGGGAAAAACTCACTGGAGGGCTAATTTTAAGGTGAACATATGCAGCTATACTTTGCACAACACATAGCCCTAATAACTTTGGGTTAGATTGCAATCATGAACACATCAGTGCATTGGACATAATGGGATTTATTTTTTAAGACATTCATAAAATTGTGCTGTTATTATGGAAAACAAGGAAGCCTCGGTTTGGAAAACAAAATCATGTATGTGGAGAAGCAGCAGCTAATCTACGAAGTAGTAACTTTCATTCCCTTTTGGACAATCCAGCACTCTTGGAAGGCTGTTTTACAATAATGAAGCATTATCATATTTCAACTAGAGGTTTATAGGAGTTGATAACAATCAGGAAGCATCAGCATTTGCAAGAACTGGAAGGCGTTCATGCAAATGACTTTAAAGAAAGGACACAGAATTAGAAAGACCTCACTGAAGCATAAATAAAGCCAGATCTAGGGTGTTATTTTGCTCCGAATCCTTTCAACTGTTTGCTATGAGTGAGAAGGGCTTTGAGCCAAGACTCATAGATGCTTAACCCCATAACCTCTCTAGGCCCATCACTAGGTTGAAGAAATTTAAGGCTGAAAATCGTTTGCCCACTTACCTGCGAGTAAGGCTTACTGCATATAATGGACTTACTTCCAATGGGTAAGAGGCTTACACTGATGCTATTTTTATCAGCATATATTTGTATATCAGTAAAACAGCAGTTTCTTTTTGGAGGGTGGGGGGAGATGTAGATGGTGGGGGAATAAGTCACAGTAAATGCCATCTTACAAGCAATAATCAGTTTTGATGAGATTTGGTGAGACTGAAGGGGACACAGCTCCTCCTACTTGCAGTTTATATAAATACCTGAGTGTCCCTTTTCAGGGAGCCTTCTTGGTTGTGGTGCCTGCCTTTCCCAAGGAGGATTTCCTTGTGCCCAGAATTATCTTTTCAATACTGAATGAAAACATTCCTTCCCCCCACTCAAGACTTAAAAAATCAGATACGTTATTGCATGAATAATACAAACAATAAATGCAAAACACAAGGCAACTATTGTCTCATTCATGGGGCTGATGTCTTTTTAGTCTGTTTAGCTGATTAAAACATTTTGAAGTGACTGCACTCATTCATTAATCAATCAGTGGCTGCAGCCCTGCCTACCTCCAGGGCCAGCTCTCAGTCCTGAAATGATGAAAAAGTGTAGACAAAATACTTTGTGCCACTTTTAACACAAGCACAAGCTTTTGCAGACCACAACCCGCTTCTTCAGAGGCAAGGAGCATTTGGGAGAACTTCAGGTGGATACAACACACAGTGCAGGGTGAATCTCACAGTTCCCACTGGGACAACCTTCTCTGCGCTACAGCCAGGAAGAACAGCTGCCCAGAGAGGTGCGGCTGTGAGGTGGTATAGAAATGAAATTAAATAACACCACTCAGGTGTTTCAGATTTCTTTAACCTTCAGCTGCAGCCCAGAAAGGTGGGCGTTGTGGTCCCTGTTGGGAGGTTGGGAAAGGCTACTCTGGAAAGCGAGGACAGTGTCTCTGAGCATGCACAAGCGTCCTTCTTCGCAGGGTGCCAACTCCAACCTATTCGAGCGAGGATCCCCCTGGGAAAGGGCACCTAAACAGATCTGGACCGTCCCCACACGGCGCCCTTTTCAACGGCTGCGAAGAAGGCGCATCAAGCTTCCCGACTCACGCCGTCGCAGCGAAAAGCCGCCCCCGGTCCCGGAGCTTTCCGCCGACGGGCTCCTTGCTCCAGGGCGTCCCTCCTCCCTCCCGGGGGTGCAGGCGAAAGAGCGCCCGCCGGATCCTGAAGACCGACCTTTGGCGGGGCAGCGCGAGAAGCAGCGCATCTCGTGGCAGGCGCCCGAGCCGCGGGCGCCCGAGCCGTCCATGAGCGTCCTCCTCCCGCCCTCGCCCCGCTCCCCGGCGCTGCATCCTCCTCGGGCGACTTACTCATCGCCACCGCCGGGCTCACGTGCACCAACCGTCGCCCCCTTCGCGCCGGCAGGAAAGCGCGGCCCCTGGAGGCGCAACCCGACACCCGACGGGGGCCGCGGGCAGGCGAAGCGATGCCGCTGCGCTCCGCTCACCTGCCGCAGGCGGCAGGGCCGGGCGCCGCTGCAGCGCCTGCTCGGTACGGCGGCGGCGGCGGCGGCAGCCTCAGGGCGAGTCCGGCTTCATAGCGGCCCGGGCGGCGCTGCCCGAGAGCGCGTCCGCTGAAGCCGCCGGCCGAGGCTCGAGATCGTGCCGGAGCAGCGTCCGCAGGGCAGCCACTGCGGCGGCACGTGACCGCC